TCATATATAAATCACAACCATCATTAATTATGCTTGTGATTGTCAAAAGTTAGGTACCAGAATTGAGGTTTCACAATATTGTACTATTTTTAGGTATTTCTTTCTCAAGAATGGTTAATCTTGCATGGTCTTTATCTTAAGGCCACACAAAACACTTTGTATTATTTTGGGTCAACTATTTACTCTTACATATAAATCACAACCATCATTAATTATGCTTGTGATTGCCAAAAGTTAAAGACCAGAATTGGGGTTTTAAATATATTGTACTATTTTTTGGTATTTCTTTTTCAGGAACGGTTAATCTTGCATAGTCTTTTTCTTAAAGCCTCATGGAATACTTTATAGTATTTTAGGTTAACTATTTACTCTTACATATAACTCTTATATATAAATTACAACCATCATTAATTATGCTTGTGATTGCCAAAAGTTAGGTACTAGAATTGAGGTTTCACATAGATTGTACTATTTTTTGTTATTTCCTTTTAGGAATGGTTAATGTCGCATGGTCTTTTTCCTAAGGCCACACAGAATACTTTGTATTATGTTGGGTCAACTATTTACTCTCACATATAAATCACAACCTTCATTAGTTATGCTCCCAATTGCCAAAAGTTAGGTACCAGAATTGAGGTTTCATATAGATTCTACTATTTTTTGGTATTTTATTTTTAGGAATGGTTAATGTCGCGTGGTCTTTTTCTTAAGGCAACACAGAATACATTGTATCATTTTGGGTCAACTATTTACTCTCACATATAATCACAAGTTCACAACCGTCATTAGTTATGCTCCAAATTGCCAAAAGTTAGGTACCAGAATTGGGGTTTCACATAGATTGTGCTATTTTTTGGTATTTCTTTTCAAGAATGGGTTTAATGTAGCATGGTTTTTTCCTTAAGGCCACACATAATACTTTGTATTTTTTTGGGTCAACTATTTACCCTCACATATATATCACAACCATCATTAGTTATGCTCTCGATTTCCAAAAGTTAGGTACCAGAATTGGGGTTTCACATAGATTGTACTATTTTTTGGTATTTCTTTTTCAGGAATGGTTAGTGTAGCATGGTCTTTTTCTTAAGGCCACACAGAATACTTTGTATTATTTTGGGTCAAGTATTTACTCTCACATATAAATCACAACCATCATTAGTTATGCTCTCGATTGCCAAAAGTTAGGTACTAGAATTGGGGTTTCACATAGATTGTACTATTTTTTGTTATTTCTTTTTTAGGAATGAATAATGTCGCATGGTCTTTTTCTTAAGGCCACATAGAATATTTTGTATTATTTTGGGTCAACTATTTACTTTCACATATAATTCACAACCATCATTACTTATGCTCGTGATTGCCAAAAGTTAGGTGCCAAAATTGGGGTTTTGCATATATTGTACTATTTTTTTGGTATTTCTTTTTCATGAATGGTTAATCTCGCATGTTCTTTTTCTTAAGGCTACACAGAATACTTTGTATTATTTTGGGTTAATTATTTGCTCTTACATATAAATCACAGCCATCATTAATTATGCTTTTGATATAAATCACAACCATCATTAATTATGCTTTTGATATAAATCACAACCATCATTAATTATGCTTTTGATATAAATCACAACCATCATTAATTATGCTTTTGATTGCCAAAAATTAGGTAGCAAAATTGGGGTTTCACATAGATTGTACTATTTTTTGGTGTTTCTTTTTCATGAATGGTTAATGTCCCACAATCTTTTTCTTAAGGCCACACAAAATACTATGTATTATTTTGGGTCAACTATTAATTCTTACATATAAATCAGAACCATCATTAATTATGCTCGTGATTGCCAAAAGTTAGGTACTAGAATTGGGGTTTCACGTAGATTGTATTATTTTTTGGAATTTCTTTTTCATGAATGGTTAATATTGCACGATCTTTTTCTTAAGGCCACACACAATACTTTGTTTTATTTTGGGTTAACTATTTACTCTTACATAGAAATCACAACCATTATTAATTATGCTCACGATTGCCAAAAGTTAGGTCCTT